GGCCACCACACGTGCAAGTTCGCCGCTGGAGGAAGGGGTCCAGGGTTCGAATCCCGGGAACGGACGAATTTTGAAAAAATTTTCTTTCTTTTTTTTGGCTTATTTTAAAATATATTATTTTTTAATGTGTTTTTCGATATTCTGGAATGTCCTGCATGTAGAAAATAATTTTTTTTATTGGGAAAGTGGAAAAAAAATTGGAAAAATCCACGAAAATCAGTTTATTTGCTCTTTTTCAACCCCTTCTGTAACAATTTGGATATTCTAGCATACATGGGGTGCTTTCTATGTGTGAAATCCAGCAAAGAAAACGTAATGGAATAATAAAAAAAAAAGAATAACAAAATGAAATGGCGCGAGTAAGGTTTAAATTTCGAGACCCCCTAGATCCCTTTGATATCAAGGTATAATTTTCAAACTCAGACCCTAAGTAGGGGTCTATGGTCCAAACATAACTGCCGAAAAAAAAATTTATAAACCGATTAAGGGGGTCTCAGAGGGCCCCTAAAGCTATATTGCGAAGATAAGAGGAGAGAGCTTTTGAATCGAATCTGTGGAAGGCTTCACGCATCACCGTGGCCTGGATGGTAGGCACCAGAAAGCAAGTTCGCTGCTGGAGGAAGGGGTCCCGGGTTCGAATCCCGGGGAAGAACAAATTTAAAAAAAAAAAAATTTCCTTTTTTTTTTGCTCATTTTAAAATATATTATTTTTTAATGCGTTTTTTGGTATTGTGAAGGCTCCTGCATGTAGGAAATAATTTTTTTTATTGGGAAAATGGGAAAAAACTGGAAAAAACCTGGAAAATCAGTTTATTTGATCTTTTTTTACTTCTTTTGTAACAATTTGGATATTCTAGCATGCATGAGGAGTTTTCTGTGTGTGAAATCCAGCAAAGAAAGCGTAATGGAATAATAAAAAAAAGAATAACAAAATAAAATGGCGCGAGTGAGGTTCAAATTTCGAGACCCCTTAGCTCCCCTTAAATATCAAGGTATAATTTACAAACTCAGACGCTAAGTAGGGATCTATGGTCCAAACATAACTGCCGAAAAAGAAATTTATAAACCAATTAGGGGGATGTCAGTGGGTCCCTAAAGGTATATTGCGAAGATAAGAGGAGAGAGCTTTTGAATCGAATCTGTGGAATGCTTCACGTATCACTGTGGCCTGGATGGTAGCCACCAGAAATGCAAGTTCGTTGCTGGAGGGAGGGGTCCTGGGTTCAAATCCCAGGAACGGACAAATTTTCAAAAAAATTTCTTTCTTTTTTTTGCTTATTTTAAAATATATTATTTTTTAATGTGTTTTTTCGATATTCTGGAGGGTCCTGCATGTAGGAAATATTTTTTTAATTGGGAAAATGGGAAAAAACTGGAAAAACCCAATAAAATCAGTTTATTTGATCTTTTTTTACTTCGTTTGTAACAATTTGGATATTCTAGCATGCATGAGGAGTTTTCTGTGTGTTAAATCCTGCAAAGAAAGCGTTATGGAATAATAAAAAAAAGAATAACAAAATAAAATGGCTCGAGTAAGGTTCAAATTTCGAGACCCCTTAGCTCCCTTAAATATCAAGGTATAATTTTCAAACTCAGATGCTGAGTAGGGGTGTATGGTCCAAACATGGCCCCAGAAAGGCTAGTTCGCTGCTGGAGGGAGGGGTCCTGGGTTCAAATCCCAGGGACGGACAAATTTTCAAAAATTTTCTTTCTTTTTTTTGTTGCTTATTTTAAAATATATTATTTTTTTAATGTGTTTTTCGATATTCTGGAAGGTCCTGCATGTAGGAAATATTTTTTTTATTGGGAAAATGGGAAAAAAAACTGGAAAAATCCAGAAAAATCAGTTTATTTGCTCTTTTTCGACTTCTTTTGTAACAATTTGGATATTCTAGCATGCATAAGGTGTTTTCTGTGTGTGAAATCCATTAAAGAAAGCGTAGTGGAATAATAAAAAAAAAAGAATAACCAAATAAAATGGCGCGAGTAAGGTTCAAATTTCGAGACCCCTAGATCCTTTTGATATCAAGGTATAACTTTCAAACTCAGACCCTAAGTAGGTGTCTATGGTCCAAACATAACTGCCGAAAAAAAAAATTTATAAACCAATTAAGGGGGTCCCAGAGGGCCCCTAAAGCTATATTGCGAAGATAAGAGGAGAGAGCTTTTGAAGCGTAACTGTGGTAGGCCTCACCTATCACCGTGGACTGGATGGTAGGCACCAGAAAAGCAAGTTCGCTGCTGGAGGGAGGGATCCTGGGTTCAAATCCCAGGGACGGACAAATTTTCAAAAAATTTTTTTTTTCTTTTTTTTGCTTATTTTGAAATATATTTTTTAATGCGTTTTTCGGTATTCCGGAGGGTCCTGCATGTAGGAAATAATTTTTATTTATTGAGAAAATGGGAAAAAACTGGAAAAATCCAGGAAAATCAGTTTATTTGCTGTTTTTCGACTTCTTTTGTAACAATTTTGATATTCTAGCATGCATGGGGTGTTTTCTGTGTGTGAAATCCAGCAAAGAAAGCGTAATGGAATAATAAAAAAAGAAGAAAAAGAAAATAAAATAGCGCGAGTAAGGTTCAAATTTCGAGACCCCCTAGCTCCCTTTTTTATCAAGATATAATTTTCAAACTCAGACCCTAATTAGAGGTCTATGGTTCAATCGTGGCCGCCGAAAAATTTTTTTATAAACGAATAAGGGGGGTCTCAGTGGGCCCCTAAACGTATAATGCGAAGATAAGAGGAGAGAGCTTTTGAAGCGAAACTGTGGTAGGCTTCACGTAATACCGTGGACTGGATGGTAGGCTCCACAAAAGCAAGTTTACTACTGGAGGAAGGTGTCCTGGGTTCGAATCCCAGGGACGGACAAATTTTCAGAAAAATTATTTCTTTTTTTTTTGCTTAATATATTTTTTTTTAATGCGTTTTTCGGTATTCTGGAGGGTCCTGCATGTAGGAAATATTTTTTTTTTATTGGGAAAAATTTTTGCCAAATTTTGTTTGGGAGTTTTGCTGTTGGATTGTGGGATCGCTCACGTATTTTGTGCGATTGTATGTAAGGGTGTTGCTGAATTGTATATAAGGGTGACCGCACATCCTCGGTCTGAGGGGAATTATCAACTTTCATCTATGTCAACCTTTATCTATCAAAAAGTACCTCTAGATAGAATCAAGTTAACATGTCTTATATACTAGTTCATTCGTTCGTTCTAGTGGAACTGGGAGTCTGAGGCCTTATGGCCCTTTGTCTTATATACTAGTAAATTGGTATTTAATATTTATAGTGGTAGTTACACCACATTACTCCCCTTCCAAAATTTTATCTCTGATAGAATTCGATGAACAATTACCACTAGTTGATTAATGCTTTTTTTTCATATTCATTTATATCATTTTCTGCTCATCATTTTTATATTTTTTATAGCATTTCGCTCATTATTTTCATTTTCTTTTACAGCATTTCGCTAATTTTTTTGTCTTCTATTCTTATAGCATTTTGCTTATTTTATTTTTCTTCTTCATTTTTGTTTATTACCGGTCCTTAGGAAAATTTGCCATAGAGAAACCTATGGTAATCTATGGCAACCTATGGCTACCATAGAAATTTGTATGGCAAGATACCATACGCCTGCGGTTATAATAGAGATTTGTATGGCACAATCCCATGAACTTATGGCTACCATAAAAATTTTTATGGTATGATACCATAGGCCAATAGTAACTATAGAGACCTGTATGGCATTTATATGGCACGTCACCATTCTCCTATGGCAACCATAGAAATTCGTATGGCAGTATACCATAGACCAATGGTAACCATAACGATTTGTATGGCAGTATACCATAGGCCAATGGTAACCACAAGGATTTGTATGGCACGTCACCATTGGTCTATGGCAATCATAGAAATTTGTATGGCAATATACCACAGGCCAATGGTAACCATAAAGATTCGTATAGCTATTTTATTTTTTTAAGCAAATCAACTGTTTAATATTGTTCATCCATCAATATTGGCAAGTTCTTATCACGTCCGGGTCACCATTGTGGAAATTGTAATTATGGACTATGTCAGCTTTTATCTATCAAATGGTACCTCAAGATAGAATCAAGTTAACATGTCTTATATACTAGTAAATTGGTATTTAATATTTATAGTGGTAGTTACACCACAGGTCCCTACGCTAACTGATCATCCACCAGTACACTGACCGCAGCCAGTGATGCTTGACTTCGGTGATCCGCTGGGAACCGTATCTTAACGATCAGTCCACTGCGGGACCATTTTATAATGAATAAGTGTAAGTATAAACAAAAGTTTCCGAAAAACAATGTAAATCGATGTATGCAAGCACGCTTTTCTGGTCAGGTTAGCGTCATTTTCCGCAATAAGTTGTCAAATCTTGTAGTTCTGCTTTAAGGAAAGTTTTGGCAGCGAAATGGCTGTGAAGTGAGCCTATATAATTCAGGGACTCTTAAAATCACAACATGTCTCACGTGTTGCGAGTGTATGCTAGTTATAAATATGATTAGTATTGTCAAAAGATAAAGTATTATTCATTTTCTTTTAGTCCCGCAATGGACTGATCGTTTAGACACGGTTCTCAGCAGATCACCTAAGTCAAGGGCGAGCATCAATGGATGCGGTAAGTATGTGGGTGGGTGATCACCTTGATCAGTCTGTATAGGGACCGAGGGTGTGCGGTATTGATCCTAGTTGAACTGATTCTACCGTAAAGTGGTCGACTTTGCGCGCATGTCGTCAAGCTACCGAGGCGGAGGTGCCATCCCCTCTGCAGAGGATCAAAATTGTGATGGCATGTTTTCGGATCATCCTCATGGATGTTTTTCAGACCGTCGCTAATAACCCATTGTGCAGCTCTAGTGCGACATAAATGAATGTGAACAACAACTATGACAACATTTTTTTCTTAGGTTTTACTTCGGTGTTCTTCTGCAACAATTCTTTACGATCAGTCACTTACGATAAACGAAAATACAGAAATAGGCAGCTAAAGTCGAAATAGTTTCTCTATAATTGGTTAATTGATTGAAATTTGTTGATAATTTTTTTGGTCATTTTCAATTGTCATATGATGAGTGTTAAAATCTTTTTCTTAGATGATGTTTGTACATAATATCTAGTTATTAATTTTCTCTCTGAACTAAAATATTAATCTAAAATGGCTTTCAGACAAGATTCTTGGTGAGAATGTGCCAATTTCTTTTTTTATTCTTAAATATGTACGATATAAGTGGCATGTCCATGTAAATTTCTCAGTTTCTTTACTTTATATATTATATGCATTTCTAACGGATCATTACAAATTGCGTAATTCTAAATGTTATTTCTTTTATATATACCCACTTTTATAGGTTTTTTTATTAATATATAAAAGCAAGATCACTCATCTAATTTTTCTCATTAGGAAGGGTGAAAAAAAAAGTCTTTCAAGTAGACTGAAAAAGAAAAAATAATATTATTTTGGCAGAATGTTTTTCGAATTACTTGGGAGTACATTTGGTGCTGTGATATATGACTAATATCACATACTGTAGTCTTTTTGTAGGAAGATATCCTTATCTTAACCAAAAAAGTTGCAAATTTTGGCGACAACGAGAGTCTTTTAATGATTACAGAAAGGCTCATAGCCAAATCACGACTTATTGTTAATTTTGAAATTCTTGCAAGAACAAAAATTCTTTTACTCCTTTATCATGGTAGTTGGTGCAAACTGGTGCTGATAAGAAAATATTCTACTGCCTTAAGAACATACTTTTTTTAAACTTCATGCCATGTCTCTTTTAGGTTTTGTGCCTTGTACATTATTTATGTCAGAAAATAATCAAAATTTTGATTAGGCGATAAAATAGCAATTAAATTTGTTTAGAACGATGTAATTTGTAATTGCAAAGCTATAGTTGAAATTTTAAAACATCAGCTAGTCTAAAAATGGTTAAAAGCTAGTTAAAATTGTTATGTTCATTATTGTTATGTTAATTGCTACAAAATAGACTGTTAAAAATATTGAATAATTTTATTGTGCTGATATTAAATAGAAAATAATAAATACACAACTATGATGAACACTACAAGTGGAAGTTTACTTTAAAAAACTGTTATTCAATTCGACCACGTCTTCATTAATTACTAAAGATAATCTTTTATGTCATTGTCTGATGCCGCCACGAATTATTTTCAGGGGTAATTTGTCCCATCACGCAATTAAAAAGCTCTGAGAGTGTCCTAACTTCTGTGCTGCTTATCATTAATTATAGAATCTAGAATCCCCCTAACACTATAATGTAAAAGATTTAGATCCAGTGAAGATGGGGGTCACTGTTCTGCCTTAATAAATTTCAAAAGATTGAGCCAAGCCATATGGCTCGGTGTTACGGTGCAGAATCTTGCTGAAATATTCTATCAGGTTTTGAATGCAGCATGTGGCAATAAATGTGTAGTCAATGCTTCCTTTTTGTAATGTTCAGCGTTGATTTTTACCCCTTCATCAATGAATTTCAGAGGAAATTTTCTTACATTACAGAATTCTTATTCTGAAAGTGTTGCACAGTTCGTGCACTTTCAGGTATTTCATCAAAGGTTGTTGAGCGTGCAACATTATTCTTAGCATTATGACTTTGCTCTGTGCAAAATATTTTCTCAGAAAAGATAATTCTGTCAACACATTTGTTACTGTGCCGGTTCAGCAATTTCTTACATTTTTGTAACCTTCCTTTTTAAATTTTTGTGTTGTCAAACCTTGAACTTTTCTTTTGCGATCAGGGCTAAAACCAGGTCTTCATTTAATATAACTTGCATAGTTCTCCAACTCACTTCAGCAGCTATTTTACTGAAGAATTAAAATTGATTTCTATTTTTTCACAGTATTTAGTATCCACCCTGTACTAAGAGAAGATTCTTTTGATGAAATGTCATGAAGTGTAAAAAGAAGTTTTTGATATCAAACAACACTTTGGATTCTAAATATCTATTCATCTGAATATCTATTCATTATTGTATATTTTATTTAGGATGGCTTCATATAATTCTTGTGAAAGTCTTGCTAGAGAAATTATGGAAAAGATATCTTATCGTAATCAGCAACCTAAAAATAGCGTAGCCAGTGGTAAGGTTAGTTCCTTTCAAAATTTTATCTATTTTTTTTGTTGTTGTTGTTCTTGTTGAAAATTCCTTTAGTCACATGGGATTGCTCTACGTATCCATTGACTAAGATTGGTTGAGGGTAATTATTACCACTAGTAACTGTTTTATTTCAATCTTTTTAATATCTCCTTTAAAACAAAATAAAGTGAAATTTTTCGGAAATTTTCTGACTTACTAAGAAAATAGAAAAAGTGGTTATCCAACTAAAAATCTGAAAGAGCTAATATTTGATGTAATTTTTAACCCATGTGACTAAAATATGTTTTTGTTGTAATTTCTCTCTTATTGTTGATTGGACAGTTATGACCACTAATGCTTATATTTGAACAATGAAGATTTTTATATTCACAGAGTTTTAAAGTGTAGTGATGGTCATTATTGTCCATTGGAGTATCAACAAAAAATTTGAGTGTTTTTTTTTTCATTAAACAGCTGTTTGTTCAAATTGAAAAGTAGATAAACTTCCAGATCCTGAATGGTTATTTTCTTTCATATTGGTAAAAACCGTCCCGAAAGTTCTTGTCGAAGAAACTCTTATATAATTACAATCTAATTTAAATAATTGTTCCTATTTACTAGCTTTTAATACATCATTTAGAAATAAGTAAAAATTACAAACAACAATTGGAAAGAAGAATAAATTGATTCTTAAGAAATAAAAACAACTGTTTTTTTTCAATGCTTTTTATTAAGAACTTTAGCAGAACTTAATTTAATAATACAATTGAATTAACAACGCATCATAATCAGCTCTACCTGTTCTAATTCTAATAGCATACTAACTTCGATAATCATCTATTCGGTATGAATTTTTAAAACATCTGTGAATTAATATACTAAAGATATTTATACATAAATATTTTTATACAGTATTTATTTTTACATATTTAATAATAAAATGAGTAAATTTATTGAATAAACTTATTAATTTTTAGTTGTGAGTATTGTACAATGCATATTGCAGGATTGTATGAGTATTGCACGATTGTATCTGCAAAATGCCAACGATTGATTGCCAACGCCCGGTGGCTGAGTGGTAGTGCTCCACTCTCCCATGCCACAGATCCGGGTTCGATCCTCGGGCCGGGCAAGATTGACTCAGTCTATCATCCCTTCCATGGGTCAATAAATGAGTACCAAGCATGCTTTGGAACTAAACACTGGGGGTTTCGCGTTCCTCTGACCTCCTAACCGGAACATCTGCTCCCCAGACCCCTAGGTCAAGAAAACTGAGAGGGGCAGAGTAGGCCATAGCCCTCTATGGGCTGTCCCGCTTCTGAGTTTAGTTTAGTTTAATAAGATTGCCGGATTACAAAATATGAAAAAATAAGAGTAAATAGATGGTTCTTTTATGGGGCATTCTTACTGAATCGGGTTTGTTTTGTTTGTTACGTGCCTCCCAAAAGTGATTGCTACACAGAGGTGGTCTTTCCTGATGGTTGCACTGTATATATATACATACAGGGGTCTCTCTGAGCCGAATTTACTACCGTTTAGCACTACCTTCACAAATTCAACTTTAGGGAAAACGGTAGTTTCACAAAATACTTTTTCTTAAAATTTTATTTTTACCATGTTTTTGTGTTCATTTTTTAATATAATATTTATTTTTCACAAATTATGTCTAAATTTTCACAAAAAGGTACCTTTCAGAAAAACCTAGACAGACCCCTGATATATATATATACATACATACACTCTGGATGATCATTTCATAAAGGAACAATTAGTATACGTTGGGTCTACCGCTCTAGAAGACTACATGGGGAAATGAACATTGTACCGTTTGTTTACTGACTTAATGACTGGCACGGTGATTCAGCTGGGTTAATATTAAGGTTCTCTAATTACGTTAAATATGACTCATTATTTGAAATTGCGTGTACACTAACGGCATACCTAGTCCTCATTCAAGATTATTTGTCGTTTGAAGTTTGTGCTGACAAATAGTCTGAAAAAAGTGAGTGATCAGGCAAAGGACAAATAATTTTAAACAAGATGGTGCATATAGAAGTGAGGGTGTGTAATAATCAGTGTTTTCATCTCAGAAAAAAAATGGGTGAGAATTTCTCACCCTTTCTCAAAAACAGGGTGAGATTTCAAAAAGTTAAGTGAGATTTCAAAAATTAAAAAAAAAAAAAAAAACACAAAGAGACTTGAAAAAAAAAATCATTTCTTTAATTATAATGCATTTTTAACATCTTCTAATTTTTAAAGCATTGAATATTTTTGCTGCATCATCATATGGAAAATGTTCTACATCTACTTTTTCATCAGCTATTCTCATTAGGTTGCTCAAATGCGTATTTGTTTCGTTTTGATCGTTTCTACCCACATTTGTTTCATTTTCATTTGTCCGTTTCGGAGTAGAAGATATTGGCTTTACAAGGTATTTGTCCATCTTACATTAACGAGCAAAAAATTTGAACGTCTTACATGAAGAAACCTTACCTACGGTAAACACGTGGTTGCAGAGAAATGCGTTCTGAAAGAGGTTCCGTGGTTCGGAAGGATGGTGTTCTGTTGTTCTTAAAGGTTCTGAACAATACTGGTAAATAGGGAAGCTAGATAATGGGGCAGATGTTGAAAATAATAAAAGATCCAGGAAGAAAAGTGAAACGGATTTTATTCTAAATGGCGCAAATGAGAAATTTTTTTCAAAATGCGAGAAATTCGCGAATTTTGAAATTTTTTTATAGAATGCGCGAATTTCTCGCGGTAATCATTTTTTAATGCGAGAATATTAAAAAATATGCGAGATTCTCGCGTTCTCGCGCTGTAGTGAAAACACTGATAATTGTATCTATGTAGCCGGTAAAGCCAAACATTAGCTGAACTTGGCAAGTCTATCAAATCAATAAGTCAGTAAATGGACTACATACAGTCCCTGGCTAAGTTATTAGACACACTCTAAGATTCTATGCTAAATCTTAATTATGAGGTGATACTATACAGCTTTATGCGACTGTTTGCGCTTGCTTATGCTCGTGTATCAATGGGTTAAATTAGACGATATGTAATATCAATTCGATGATTGGATAAATTACACGATATATTCTATAAATATAGAATCATTTATATTATCAAACATTATATTAGTATATTATAATAATTAGACCAAGTTATTAGACACACTTGTAATGTTTTAATAATTGCATGTTTTCCACGAGTTTATATACAATACTTTCATATTTAAACATACATGTGATGGGTTTTTATTCCGGAGATTTTTTATATACTTAATATCTGTATTTATTTTTAACTTATTGCATGACAATGTTAACCAATTATTACACGATCATAAACAAGTGTAAACAGTCCCGTAAGAACACTAAAGCTGTATAGCAACAACTGATAATTAAGATTTTAACATAGAATCTTATAGTGCATCTAATAATATGGCGAGGGGCTGTAATGCTCATTTTACCATATAGGCTTTGGGAGTCGCGGGCCAACAACCTGCTACTTCTAATTCATACTTATTGTTATAAATAATAATAATTATTTTTACTGTCTAGGCGAGTGCTCAGGCCAGGAAATTAATGAAGAAATTCAGTGACAATTTATCAAGCTTAAAGCAAACATTGCTTGCCTCAAAAGATTTACTGTATGTTTTATTTCTTTTTGGTTTTATTTCTGCTAATGAATGAGTTATTAATAACTTTTTATCTATATTTTTAATGTTTATTGTATTAAATTGTATTGTGCAACAGATTTTATTAGTGTTACTTTTAATTGATTACTTAATATCTAATAATCTAATCAATTAATCTTGCAATAATTCTTCATTTTTTTCTTGACTAATATAAGGATGTAATGTAAATAGTAAAGGCCCGGATTTTGATAATTTTTCACTTTTATTTTTTTTTTAAATTTTTTTTACTCTTTCTCTTGAATGGCACTAAAACTTAGGAGTACCTTTCTTTTAAATGTTAAGATTTATTTGCTAATACATCATTTTTAATGAAATTTTTCTAATAAATTTTTTTATTATCTCCTTTTTCCTTTTATAAAAGCACTTAAAGGTGCTTTTTTCATTGGGTGTTTTTAAAAAGTGCTTCATTTTCCCTTTTCTAAAATGAGATTTTTTCTGCATGTATTATGCAAAAGCGTGCTATTCACATTGTTCTATTCAACGTTTTCACAATTTATTCAGCCACAATCTCTTTCGGCTTACCGTCAGTCCATAGTGTAGGAAAGTGCCAATCATTTTACAAGTTTAATGAAATACTTGGAAGTCTGCACGTGTGTCTACCGGGCTGGGTTCGGCGAGATTATTGCACTTTTATGCAACTCTGCTGCATTGCAATTGCGAAATGCAACTCTGCTGCATTTCGCAAGATATTCTCAATTTCAGGCTTCATTTTCCACCCTCTGATATCAAACCGAAAAATCTCTCGAGCATTTAATAATAGTTCTTTGTCAGAAACTAGTTATTTTATCATGATCACGTAAAATCTTTGAAAATTAGTTTGCATTTTGTTAATGTATATAGTGCTTAAAAATATAGTTTGAGTGCTTAAAAAGTACTTAAAAGGTGTTTATTTTTTGTTGAAGGAATTAGCTAGGCAACCTGATGCTGTAAATCTCAATATCGTTCACGATATTGATTTCTCCATACAAGACTTTTTTTTTCCTTCTCACATTTCACATTAGTTTCAAACTTTTCAAGAATATCAATAATGTTTTAATGCAATCTTATGTAAGTTTAAAAAAAGGAAATAATGTTTGAGATTTAAGTTCTTGTTTGATTTTAAGGCATATATTTCTTTTTCTTTTAAATCTCTATTTAAGGCATTTAGTGATTTTAAGATCATCAATGTCTGGCTTCTAGTATTTAGTATGATGTAATTCAATACATGGTTACATTGAATGCTTAGATGTTTTATTTTAATCAAACATTATTTCCATAATATTAAAGTGAATTGAAATTAACAACTTTTTTACTTATAAAATGTGAACTTTCTGAGTGTACAAATTAATTATTTGAATGAAATAAAATAACCAGACAGAACAAGACTCGAATTTAAATTGACTTTGTGCTTTCTTAACGCTAAGCATACCAACACTTTACAATACAATACAATACATCTTACAATAACTTTTGACTGGTTATGGTATGTTTAGTGTAAATATTTTTGTTATTAAGTTATAAACCAAATAATAGAATAATATATTTTAAGGGGTCACAGTATAATAAAAATGACCAAAATATCGATTTTTTTTATTGCTTATAATAAAACTTCAAATGATTTCAAATGCACTGGAAAAAAAAATCATCTCTCAATCTAAATTTTTAAAAAAGTTATGAATGATTTTAAATTGTCCTAATACGGAAACTTGCTTAGCAGACGGATTTTAAAGTGATTTTTCTCATAGATGATAATTTTGTGTTTTAATCTTAATCAAATCCCTCAGGAATTTTTTCTATTTAAGGTAAAGCTTTGAAGTAAAGTTTATTATCTTAAGTATAATACACTTATTTAAACTGTGCATGGAATAAGCATTTTAGGAGGTATTGAATTTTTACATCATGTTATATATCTAACCGGAATTTTTTTTTCCTACTCTTTTACAAAATAATCTATAAAAATATTCTAATTGATATATTAACAAATGAATGCACAAATTTGTTGAGATGAATATTGTAAGCATGAAGAAAAAAAAATTTCTGAAAATATGTTAAAATAAAAAAGCCTTAGGGATTTAAAAATTGTTAATTTTTTCAAATTTTTTTTAAATTTGAAAAAAATAAAACAATTTAATTATTTTTTTAAGACTGAAGATAAATTATTGATTATAAATTAAATGAGCATGTAAAGCATCCGCAAAATGAGTGATTATACCTTTATTTAAAAAAAGTGTTTCAAAGGTACTGTGACCCCTTAAGCTTGTTTGAATAAGTTCATTTATTTATTTTTGTGGCTTATTTTTAGTTTTCAAAAATTTAAAAAATGTATAATTGTTCTGATTTGTTTAAATTGTTCTGCACTCTAAAATAGTGCTGTTATGTAGCAGCACCTACTTGGTCTTAGGAAGAAAAAAAAATTCTAATTTTCAAGAGAGCACTTAGTTCAGAGAGTTCTTAGCAATCTTACAATTTTTCTTTTATAAATTCAATATGTTTTGTATCATAAATATGTTTCCCATAAGTTATCAAAATAGAATATAGATATTTTTACATCATTCACATAGATATTTACTTCACGTAGATATTTTTTTTATTAAATTAGCAGTATCGTTTATTCCCCTTGAAGTAATTTTTAGATATTGATGAGAAATAAATAATTTTAAGATAATATTAATCTTTAAATTATTTGGAGAAAAAGAAACACAGATATTTACAAGTAGTTTGTTTGTGCTTAAGATAATGAAATTATTAAAACAATATTTTGAAATCTTGCTTTAAAGAATTTCTATAGTTATTGCAGAATGTTTGCAATTTTACCATCAATCACACTAAAGGTTTCATTTGACTCCTCAAAAAAACTTTTTATTAAAATCTATTTCCATCATATAAAAGAACAATTACATTGATGAAATTAATTTGTGCATTCCATGCTTGTAATAAAACAGGGATAGCACGTACTGTAAAAAAAAAAAATTCCCTTTAGGAATTAGTCATGGAAGAAATAGGTTTCTTCTAACCCACTATAGGGTTGCCACTCCACAGAGAGAATAGGGAAAATACAGGGAATTCACCTAAAACAACAGAGGTAATGCAGGAATTTGTTTCTTATTTTTGTCTTTTAAAAAATGGTGACAACTCAAAGCGTATTCTATGACAGTAGTTTCCAACTGGCGGCCTGAGGGCGGCATCCGGCTCACGAACTAAAATATATTAGTTGTCATTTTTTTGCAGACAATTTTCATAAAAACTCTATATGGGTTTAAAATACTTTTCTCGTTAATAAAAACCTAATTTCTTCATTTCTGTGAAATTTAACATACCAACGGTATAAAAAAAATTTTATTTCTCATGTTTTGCATCCAAGAAAATATTTATTCAAATACAAAAATAATCGTGTATGTTACTCTTTTTTATTTATTTATTATTTTTTTTTTTGGTATTTTGTCAATATAATTTAGCATATGCGTATCAGAAATTTTCTCAAAGAAATTCTCTAATTTAACTTTTTGAAACCACTCATTTTGGATGAAAATATTTGAACACACATTTGTAAATTTTAAATTTAAAATGTAAATATCTATTCTCTGGTGGTTGTAGCAGACAAACCTCAATTTTTTCATTGAACATTTTGTGTGCTACTATGTAAGTTTTAATACCTACCTTTTTAAAATTTTATATCTTAAAGATTAGATATCTGTTGCACATTAATTGTTTAATACATAGGTGCACATTAAAGTTATTGTAGCCTAAATTTTTTAATATGCAATTAAATATTTTTAAAAATCAACTTCATATTTTAATTTGTAATTCAATACTTTTGTTTTGTATAACCTGGTAAAAATCTGAAGTAATATTTAATGCTCCTTCAAACATAAAAAGAGTCCTATATAAAATTTTGGTAAATTTGCTGCCCGCCATTTGATTTGTGTTTTTAATTGTAGCCCCCGACTTCGTGTAAGTTGGAAACCCCTGATCTATGGGATATTTAACTATGATATTTCAGCTATACTAAGCTATTTGCTATAGCATTATTTAAGTACGTCTAGTTTAAGCAATATTATTGATTTTCGAGCTATTTAATATGTTATTATAAACTGTGTGGAATTAATTAGAAAAAAGATGAATAATAAATTATATTATATAATTATTTAATAATTATATGAAGAACTTTTAAAATATCTTAACCAGTCTTCATTAATACCACTAAATTAACAAATCACAAACTAAATGTATACATTATCACAAATCACATATTAAATTCACAATTACAAATAGCTCTAATTTATTCAAATGCTGTGAAGATTCAAATTGATATTTAAATAATTTATACAGACTTTAAACTTCTGTATATAACTAAAATAAATTATATGGAAGCAGTAAATTTTTTCAAAGTGAAAAACTTTTTAGTACTATATTAAATTTGATGTGTTCAAATTTAAGCTATTGCATGGTTCAAATATTGTGTGTAAATTTCTGTAGAAAAGAAAATAATTTTTTCTTCTTTCTACTTTTCAAAAGAAAAATCTTTCTGCGAGAGCTGTAAAGTTTTGCGATATAANTGCCTGTGTTGGTGGATCCGGTTTTGATGTCATCTTATCAAGCTTCTGCAAATCTGATTTCTTTAATTTGCTTGGCCGTCCACTTCTTTTTGTCTTTGCATTATTTTGCATCAATCCGAGTTTTGAATTCTTGATGCGACTGATATGACTGAGTGAAATCGAAGTACCTTTCTTTTTAAAATGGGTTTGCATAATCCTGTGGCTCCATTGAAGTTCTAAAAATGCTTTTACTTGACCAATTAGCTTTTTGTCAAATTTCTTCAAAGGTATCTTTGTGATTTTATGAAATAGCATTGCAATTGAAAGTCTAATAGCAGAGCTTTAGATCAGTATGCTATATATGTAAAAAGGTTTTAAAACTTTAGTGGTAGATAAACACAAAAGTGATCCCTATACTTTTTTGTTGCCCTGTAAATTGAAAAGTACTCAAGAAAATATCGGGTGTAAAGAAGCAAAAATTTGGTGAAATAATATGAGTAGAAGTTTGAGAACTTTTAAAGAACATGTGTTTTTCAGAAGTAAAGTTTTATTCTAAATAGTATTCACTTGTCAAATTAACTTGTCATTTTGACTTAATAATCTTGAACAAATATTTCTTTCAGATTATGCAAAAAATTCAAAATTAAAATTTACATGTAAGGCAGGCTGTTTATAAAATTATATTAAAATTTATTGAATGAATTTAATTATTTATATTGGTAAAGTAATTTTTAACTGATTATTTTTTAAAAGGACGGAAGGGGAGTTTGAAAGACGAGAGAGACTCATTGATGGCCTAAACAATAAGAATACTCAAATCAATGACGCCTTCAGTGGCAGAGAAGAGGGTGGAAACAGGTATTTATTTGCTTTGTTTTGCATATTTTTTGCATTTAGTATTTATTTCTATTTATATTTTTTGCACATAAATGTTAATTTAATTTATTTTTGAAATAACTAAAATTAAATATTGACTTTATAATAGGAGGGCTACTTTTTTTCTCAACCAGAACACAATAGAAACCACAGAGGAAATAAATAATGTTTTATTTGCAATATTAATCTACACACCTTTTACAGTAATTCCTTTATACCTCCTTTCCATAAACCCATTTTGCACATTGTTTTTACTGCTGTTTTTTATGGTTTTACATGCTTTTTCATTGTTTTTTTTTCTTTTTCTAAAGATGTTTTCCTTTTCTTTTTTTTATCACTTGGGAAAGAAACATAATTTTCCTCTTGATTTTTACAATTTTAAGAAAAATATTACTATTTTTTATTATTATTTACTGTGTACATCTTTTAATAATAATAAAAAAAATCCTTAAATGAAGAAAAATACCAAATTAAGAATATTAGTGATATCTCATTGATGAATGGTCAGTTTAGAAATTAATGCTCTTTAGATTTTTGGCATAGACATATTGTTCATCACTTACAGATGAATAAATAAAATATTTGCCTAACTTTTGGTCAAATTTTTTTTTTTTATAATATATTTTTTTGCAGTCTGGTTTTATATAATCACGAAAACTTTAGATATAACTTTTTTAATCTTAATTTCTGATGTATACATTATCAATACTCATATTTGTTTTTTTTTATGAATTTAAAAATATTTATTAACTAAACTCAGTGGCGCTACAGCCCATAGAGGGCCAGGGCCTACTTTGCTCATCTTAGTTCTCAGCTACCTTGGGCTCTGGGATGCAGGAGCAGATGTTCTGGTTAAGTAGTCACAGTCAGCCTATCACGGAATCCCCCAGTGCTTAGTCCCCAAGCGTGCTTGGTACTCATTTTATTGACCCATTGAAGGGAAGAAAGGGTGGATCAACTTTACCCGGTTCCAAGGATCCAACCCAGGATCTGTGGCACGTGATCACTCAGCCACTGGATGTCAATTTTTTTTTAAATATTTTGAAAATATTTGAAATTTGTAAACTTTAATTTCTCTTGAACGAATAATTCATTTTTTAGAAATTTTTTAACAGTCTACAATCTTCCAATTTGTGATCTCTGAACATTCTACAACTAAATGCAAGTTTTGCAGCTTTTCTGTACTCCTAGTCTATTTTCTAATTTAGTGTGAATATATGAAAAGTTTAACAATCAATTCAGCCAACTTTTATCACTTGATGAAGCATTCATTATTAATGAAATACACCGAAAATCATATTGCAAAAAAGGAAGTTATTGAAGGAAGAATGGCATACTCATGTAAAAAAAATTTTTCTTGTTTATTAGCAGCTAAAAAATATTGGAATAATTCTCAGTGTTACATTGCATAATTTGTTTTTCCTTGATGCGGGTGTTTGATCAGTCTAAATAAAAGTCTTGAATGTTTAAATATAACTCTTTTATTCTTTGATTTGACCATCAATAGGTAAAATTATAATATGAATGTGCCTATTACTGGATGAATGAAGAGAGAATTTATAATTTAGATAGGAACCGTTGTTAGTAGAATAATTGTTAGTGGATCCAGAACCATTGTTGGTGGATCCAGAAATTCAGAAGTCTGAAGGATTGGTAGTTTCCAGAGTCTAGCGGAATCACTGTAGATATAAAATTATACTTTATATAAATGTTTTTGACACATTCAATGATTTTTTTTAAGTGTTTGAACTAATGATTCTTTTTTTTAAAAAATAAATAAGATGATTTAAATCTTACCAAACCTACATAATTCTAATCAAGTTTAGGATGTCATGTAAAATCACTGATTTATAGAGAAAGTATGGTATGAAATAAAATTTTTCAAGGGATCTTAACATGCGAAGATTTCATTTATTCATTCATGTGTTTCATCATTATTTTTGAAAAAGCTATTTGAAACTTATGGAATTACAAAACAAAACCTAAAATTTGAATAAAGTTATTGTGTATAGGATGCGGAAGAAAAAACGAATCACCCTGAATAACTTTTGATCTAATGATGTACTGGCACTTAAACTTAAGATTTCAAAGGGGTGACCTGAAATATAGTAATCAGGTAGTGTAGACAATAATATAAGTTACAAAATCAAATGTAAAAAATACTTTTTTGACCAAATTGGACATCTGACCCTCAAAATATGGAAGGTAGCCGTAGTCTGAAAAAATATGGTCCCAAAAGTTTGTATCCCTTAATGTTAATTTTACTTGTGTATTTTGCCATACCTGGAGAACTGTTAAGGTGAATTGAAAAATTTTTGTACACATTTCATTTATGCAAAAATAATTTCATACAAAAAAACAATTTTTAATAATTTTATTAATTTATATACAGGGTTCTGTCTAGGATAAATTTACTACTGTTTAGCGGTACCTTCACAAATTTAACTTTAGGAAAAACGGTAATTTCACAAAATACTTTTTCTTAAAATTTAATTTTTGTATCTCGAAAAAAAGGATAAATCCATATTTTTACCATATTTTTGTGTTTATTTTTTAATATAATTTTTAATTTTCACAAATTACGCCTAAATTTTCACAAGTTATGTCTAAATTTTCACAAAATAGGTACCTCTCAGAAGAACCTAGACAGACCCCTGATATAAAAATAATCAAAAAATATTTGAATGTATGTTTAGAAATTTCTACATCCTTTTAAAGAATGCAATTTTATATCGCAATATTTTTTCAAAATTGGTGGAAATAGTTCCTGACAATTCCAATTTTAAATAACTGACACTTTTAGCCAACTATTATCAAATAGAATAATAAAAAACAATAAATAATTATTAAAAATTATTATCGAATATAACATTTTCTAATGGTTGGCAAAATATGCAAAAAATAAATAAAGGTTCAAACCTCTCTAGGTTAGACAGCTCCCCTGGACCATATTTCACGGATTGTGCTCACTTCTTTTATTTTGAAGTTAAGAAATCACAATCAGTTGAAAAAACGTATGTTTATTTGGAAAAAGTGTGTTTTTAGAATTAAAGAAGTATAATTTGACTCTGAGTCCTTAAATATATTTTATTATGTTTCTTAACTACAGGTTTTGTGGATAGATCTGCTGTATTTTTCAAATTTGTAACATATTTCAGTTTAAAGAATTTATTGTTAACTTTTTGTATCATCAACTGTGAACATACATCATTATGTTTACTTTGAGAGTTCTCAATTTCAGATTAAGAAAAATCAATAGCAGCACTATTATCACCAAACAAACAAACAAACACTGAAATAGAATTTTTGTACAGATTATTGCTTGCTAGCTTGAATATTTAAATTAAGTATTACTAATACATAATGAGGCGATTCTCATTTATGGAAATGAGTTCCAAACTTTTTTTGTTCTAAAATGTTCAGTTTATTTTTATTCAGAACTCTCTTTTAAAATTAATTTTAAAAAATCTTTTAACTATCTTTGATTAATTAAATGCCTATTGATATTTAAAATTATAAGTAAACATAATACATAACATATCAGGTATGTTTAATGTCAATCATAACTGGAAAATATTGCAGTTTTTCTATTTTGATGAGTATAAAATTTTCCTTTGCCTACATTATGCAACAATTATCATGAAATTAGTATTATTTCGTAAAATCTACTGGATTTTTTCCTATCCATGTTGGCAGGTATGTGCAAGTGTCAAAGCACTCAGTATATGTTAAAGGTTTCATAAACCTTTAATAAATTTAACCTTTTTTGATCAACTTGAATGGTGGCATTGTTGTCGCAGCTGCATAATATTTTTTTCTTCTGTTAACACACTGTTTTCTGTTTTTTTCTGTCACATGTGTCCAATTGTTGTTGGAAAATTTCTAGACTAGAATGAAATTCTCTTGAGACTAAAAATTCTGAATAATTGTTGCAGGCAAGCTCTTCTGGGTGCTGAAATGGTGACTCCTTCCACGAATGTTTGGGGAATGGAAGAGGACGAGAGAACCAGGGATTTGAGTTTCAATGAAATAAAAGAGCAACAGTTAATGGCTATTCAGGGTATGTCACGTTGCAAGACGAAAGTTATCAGATTCACAGCAGATTCTCGTGAAAATTTCTCACTAACACAATAATGAAGTATTTAAAATCAGGGATCTGTCCAGGGTATATTTACTACTGTTTAGCGGTACCTTCACAAATTCAATTTTAGGAAAATGCTTTTAATAGAGCAAGTTCTCATGCAAACCCCTTTCTCATTGCAATCTAGGGAAAAGAGTAGTTTTTTTGCCATATGTTTTTTATGAAATGGTAGCACATGTTTGGTCAGATAGTGCAATATGGTAAACCTAACCGGCCGCTCACACCATATCAAAGCTAGTTTTTTTAAAATGAAACAACGAGGGTGTCCCTCTGTAAACTTTACAGGAAGTCAACATTCAATCATTATCTTAAACACTATTGTAAATTTATTCTAACAGACCTTTATTTTTTATGAAACATTTTTTTTCTCTGTGAAACTTTTTTCTGTATGATCTAGTCGAAAATGTTCTCATAATGAAAATAACTTTTTGTGCTAGAACTGTTAAATGCGTATTTTTAATAAATTCAAGTTGAAATTTAACTATGGACCATGACTTTTATGGAATTTTAAATTTGGATGCAATTTTAAGCCCACAATTTTACAATAGCAAAATTATCTTTTTCAAATGGGGAAAAACATACAGAAATTTACCTGTCATAAATGATTTTTATTTGAAGTGACATTTTTTGAAAATATTTTCTTACTTTACCATATTTCTGTGTTGATTTTTTAATATAATGTTTAATTTTCACAAAATAGGTACCTCGAAAAAAAACCCAGACAGAACCTGAAAATAGATTAAACAAAAAATTTTTAACCTAAATACTACCTCATTTCATTTTTATTTCCTGATTTTTTTAATATTTTTTTTTTGTACTTTAGGGAGTCTTATCGATTTAGGATTATTAGAAAGACAGGATTTAGACTTGTTTTGAACTATTTTCATTTATTACTCCAATTTGTGTAAATATTTTTGGTAGTGATAGAAAAATTTATATGTATTGAAAAATTTCTCCTGCATTAGTAAATTTCATTTAAAGTTAAAGTTGCCCATCACTACATTTAAATAATTCAAATATTCATGTAACATGCCACTTAGTTTGAATTATTTTGCATTGAGTCTTTTAATATATTGGCAAAATTATCAATTATTAAAGTTATTTAAATGCTATGAGGTTTAAAATAAAAAATGATTTTGAAATACCTTTTACTTTTTTAATGAGTATATATATATCTTTTAATAAATCTGATTCTTTATCTTATTTTGAAATAAAATAAAATACAATATTTTGATTTTTTTTTAAAAAGTAAATAAATAATCAGTTTCTAAAACATATAAATTATTAAATTTCGTATTGGATCTATGTTACATATTAAAAATATTAACATATTATTAGAAATACGTTACATATTAACAATTTAAGTTTTCAAAGTTTGTAATTTAATTTTATTTTTTATTCTTTCTTAAATTGTGCAAATTATTTATTAAAAAAATGTTAACACATACATTTTTAAATTAAAATTTATTTCTTAAACAACATTTCAGAAACCTAAATCAATGAAAACTTTATTAGGATTCAATGAATGGAATTACAATGTCAGTGTTACTTGTCAACTGCAAATAGTGTGCGTTAAACAAACAGCATTCACTTAGCCAAACTGAAATTTAAAAAAAAACGAAACAATAATGATAAAAATTAATTTCCTGTTTTAGTACGATAAATAGGTCATTTAAATGAGTTCTTACCCATTCCTATAACTTAAAAATTTGCAAGTCTCTGTGTATAAAAATTAGAAGCATCAAAAGTATTTCTCATTTTTTAAAAATCTAACTTGAGCGCATTTCAGTAATATTTTAATCAAAAATTAAAGGTTGCAGTAATACAGTCTCAATCAATTCAAGGTTACAGCAATTGCAATTAATCACAGGAATACTCCTGATTACCAAAGTCTTGACATAAAAATGAGGAATGAATGTAAAAAATTAAAAGAATTGCTTTTGTTGTGGTTTATTTGCGTTCTGATGATACCATTGAGATATATAAAGTGGTGGCCAAAAGTGTGGACACTTTTTGAAAGTTTCATGTTTTTCAACTTTGTGTGCTTGTAGAATATATTAATTTTCACTTAAATACAAACGCTTATCTATCAAATTGAAGGTAATTTAATGTAGAATTTAATAATAAATGCAGTGTTACAATATCTGTATTTCAAAAAAAGTTATGCTATTAATAGTAATATCTATCTTAGATTTGCATTTTTTTAAAGTGATACTTAGTGATACGAGTGTTTTTTTCTTGGAATTCTAGCTTGTAGTCCAAATCCTGATAAGCTTCTCCTTATTGCTCTTGAACTTACTGCAATACCAGCTGTATTCATTTCACATCTAATGGCATTTGACGACATTTTTCTATCTTGAAGGCATAGCCATTTAATTTTTCTATCGGTAGTAGCACTTGTGCATTTTTTTTCGGCCTGATTTGGCATCCTGAATGCCAAAAAATACATCGAAACTGTCCTGAAACCAAAATTGATACCTTCCATCAGGGATCTCTTCCCCAACAACGAACCATTTATTTTTCAGCAGGATTCAGCTCCATGCCACACAGCAAAAGTATGCAAAGCATGGTTTCAAAATAAAGGCATAGATATATTACCATGGCCAGGAAACAGCTCTGATCTCAATCCAATTGAAAATTTGTGGCGACGTTTGAAAATTCTTGTACGAAAAAAACGTCCATCCAATAAAAGACAACTTATTGAAGCTATAATTGATTCTTGGCACCATGTGATTACAAAAGATGAACTCCAAACACTCGTTCACTCATTGAAAAGACGCTGTGAAGCTGTCTTAAAAATTAAGGGTTATCCTACTAAGTATTGTGTAAGTATCACTTTAAAAAAATGCAAATCTAAGATAGATCTTACTATTAATTGCATAACTTTTTTTGTAATACAGATATTGTAATATGTATTTATTATTAAATTCTACATTAAATTACCTTCAATTTGATATATAAACATTTATATTTAAGTGAAAATTAATATATTCTACAAGCACACAAAGTTGAAAAACCTTGAAACTTTCAAAAAGTGTCCACACTTTTGGCCACCACTGTATATATATCTGCGTGCATGTGTGTGTTAAAAAATTTCCTATTTATTTCCCTGATAAATAAACAGCCCATAAACTGCATGCCCAAATCAGCCCCCGTCTAAAGTAAGTTTTCATTTAGAAGAAAACTTTATTGATATCATTTAGAAACAAAAACAAGAAGTTAGAAAATAATTCCTTTGACCTTCTCAAAATCTTCTTATCAATATCATTGAAGTCTATCTGTTGATTGACAACAGTGACATCTCTCAAGTTGACCATCCTTGTAAGTTAACTAAAGTTGACCTTAGTTATTAAGAATTGTCCTAGATAACATAAGGCCTTTGTTGACCACCTATCTATCTTGTATGTTCACCACTAAAATAAATTAAAATTGTCCAACACTGTTATGAAATATTCATAAATTTTCTTACGTTTATTAGGGAAGATAATTTTTTTTTCCGGTTAATTTTCTATCCCGTTTTGAATTTCCCTAAATAGTGTGAAAAGCTAACATTGGTAAGTTAACCACCTGGGGAAACTAGAAAAGGCTTATCTATTTTCAAATAACATCCTTATCTTTTAACACCCTTTCTTTCGTGTGTGAATTGAAAAGCATTTCTTTCTGTTAATATAGTTGACATCTCAATAAATAAATTCCTTGAATTATGATTTGATCTTTCTCTAAATCAGTGATTCTCAACCACTGTGCCGTGGCACTTTTGTGTGTCGCCAAATTTTCGAAATGATATAGTAAAAATTATAAAGCTTTTCTTATTATGAGTTGAGTTTAAATTAAAAAAAAGTATATATATATGTATAATCTTTTATATATATATATACTTTTTATAATTTTTCAATTCTTTAATGGCGTGAATATCTTTGTTGGTGATAATCTTGTTTCTGACAATCTTAAAATAAGTAGGAAATTTAATGACTATTAAAATTATTAATTAACAAAGAAATAAAAGCCAACAATTAAAATATGCTGTGTAATTAATAGTTATTAAAATTAATTAAAAAATGATAACTAACAAAAGAAAAAGCTAACAGTTAGTAATTAGCAAAAAAGCAAGTTAACAAGGAATCACAAAAATGTAACAATTAATGTAAAAAACCTGACAATTAATAACTAGGAAAAAAATAAATAACAGTTAACAGCTAAATAAAAAACGAAAGAACTATTAAGCTATGTGAGGGAAGAAAGGTGAAATTAGAGCTGCACAAGTTGAAAGAGCTAATTAATTCCTTAATAAAACATGTTTTTGTAGTACAGTTTATTTTATTTTATATTCAAAATTATTATCATCAACTATTTTGCACAGTGTATTATAGGAAAGTAAACAAATTTTAAGCATATTTTTTTCTTTGTGTGTCATCAAATTCTGAAATCGCTAAAAGTGTGCTATGATAATAATAAGGTTTAGAACCACTGCTCTAAATCAGTAAAGAAATTCTTTAAAGTATGCTGAGCAGTTCAAACTGAGTTTCTGAGCTAGGCAATTTTAGAAACAGTTTGAGATAAACTTTTACGTAAAATAGTTAAAAAGAAAACTAGTTGAACTTTCAATTGGTATAAAGCATGGAATATTAAATTTGACTGAAAATGGAGAAAACCAATAAATAATAACTGAAATTAATGAAATTTCAAAAGTGTCTAATATAGTAAAGAATAGAGAGGGAATAAATAAGATGTGATTAGAAAATTGTCATTTAAATTTAAAGTGTGTTTAAATTTCCAATAAATTATCATTGTGATTGATCTTAGAGTAAAAATGTTTCTCTTCTTCGCAGAACAAGACAAAGGATTGGACACATTACATGATGTTGTGGTTCGGCAGAAGCACATGGCAGCAAATATTGGCCAGGAGCTGGATTTGCAGAATGGTTCGATATATTTTTGTGTGTTAATTTATAATGATTACATAGAATGGTCTTGATTATGGGTGGTCTAGCCGTGCAATATTTTTTTCATGGTTGCCACTCTTCAGTCCCGTGGACTGAAATCAGTCTTGAGAAAAGATCAGTGGACTGGAGACAATAGAAGGGCTAGGTCACTCCTTGTAGTCTCCTGCCACTCCGAGCTTCTGATTTCCGCCAATATCGTCACGGCGGCGCAGCATCAACTTCTTGCTTTAAAAATGAATTGTTTGGCATGTAACTAGCATTCTTTTTTTAAACTTATTTCAATACATTCATTGTTTTCTATACTTTTATCTGTATTTTGAGGGGATTTTGTTCTCATCTGATTCCAAAAATTTAACAGTAGTAGTCAAATATCACTGGCAAGAATTATTATAAAACACAAAATGGGAAAACGTAATTTTCTATGTTTTACTTCAGAAAATATAAAGGTGACATCAAAGGAATCATAAAATGTACTAGAAAAATTTATCCTGCTGTGAATAAAAGCATTATGTTTCACGTTTTTTGTTTAGACATTTAAGAACTTTTAATTTTGCCATCAAAAATTATACAGTGTCATAACTTTAAACAGAAAAGAAGAAAAAAATGTACGAGGTCAAAGAAAATAAAATCCTGAACTTAAAAATAAAGGTAGTTAATGCTTAAAAATTCTTCCAATTTAATAAGATATTTCTTAATGTAATTATTCAAAATATTTTTTTTAATTATAACGCCTTAATTTTAAATATTTATGAGCAAGTGTAATATTTTCACTATTATATACTGAAAGATTATTTTTTTAGTAATTATCATTTAAGATTTTTGTTTCCTAGTGATGATATATACAAAAAAATTACAATTATAAATAAGAAAATATATTAAAATTAGGCATCCCAATTGATAAAATATAAGGACATTCTTATAGTTTCATATTATCAGACAATATGTTACTATAAAACTGTTCTTATATGCTTTCATTTATTTAACAATGAAAGTTAAAAACTAAAATTAGAAAATAATAAGAAAATGATGACGACAAAAAATTGAGATATTTTTACTACTTAAATTTGTTTTAATACTATTAAGGAATGCCAAAAAATGTATGAATACTATATTTTTGAATAGAAATAATTTGTGTGCAGCGTAAAGTTTGAACATCAGAAAAGTGTCCTTACTTCAACTCATTTCTTACTGAAAGTATAAGCAGCAAAGTTTTCATATCCTTTAATTGTGAGTTTTGAGATTTGTGTGTGGCATGACGTCATGTGGTGGAGAATTGTAGCTTCAGTTTTGAGTATGTATAGAACCAGCCCTTCTATATCTTTTTTTTAGCCCTGGGACTGAATTCTATCCTCCAATTAATATTTATTTCTGGTTTGTTTTGTAAACTAAGTTTTCCAAAAAATTTTAATTTCTCTTTTTCTCTTAAAAACATGAAACTATTATTTTCTGATGAATTTTTTTTCTCACTTTTTATGAAATCAGTATTATTTTTCATATTCATTGCAAAATGAATCATGGCAAAGAATAATTTATTAACACATTGAAAGAATGGGATTATCTGAACATCAACATTTGCTTTTATAACCAAAATTTGTATTGTTGAATCTGAATTTCCTTGAGTTTGCATCCCCCCACCCCCCTAAGATTTTGATTTGTTGGGTAAAGTTAATTAATGATTATTTTTTTTAAAAAATAAAATTTATAGAAATAGGACAAAACTTTATGATGATAAAGTGAAAATAAGTGGAGATATGAATAGCTCCAAGAAAAAAATTTGTGGTGTAATTCAGATATTAGTGTTAAAAAGATATGAGGTTAGCTGTTATTTTTGTTTTGTTTGCTGTTAAAAAATAAAGAATATAAATGTATCATTTTAGAAAAATAATCTAGTCATTGATATAATATGTGGGTCATTCTTGTACAAATTGAGCTATAAATTGCTGAAAAATTCTGCTAAATAACTCGAGACCATGTTAGTTGGTCAGAAAATAAGTTAAGTCTTGAAATTTTTTTATAGTGGCACCCATGTTTTTTTTTCTACATAAAAAATTTGTCTTACAAAACTTTGATTGGAAAGATGGTTAATTTGTTTTTATTTTTCTTTTACGCTGAATATTGTTATAAAACTTCGTAGATTAATATTTATTTTTTTTAAGACTATAAAACATACTGGTCATACCAAGAGTGATACAAACAATCATTTTCTTAATTCCTCTTCAGGTAACAGAAAACTACTTATCTATATTGTTTGTCAAATGTTCTGAATGGTACTGAGTATCTCTTGATAATTCAGACAGCCCTAGGGAAATTATTATTCTGATTAAAAAGAATGCAACAAAAAATTTTTACTGTAAAAAAGTGTTATAACAAAAATAACTTTGCATGCCAATTTATTTATTTATTAGTTTGAATTCCTTAAGTTTATAAATTAGTTTTATAAATTATTACTGCTTCAATATATTTTGATTTCTGTTATTTTTACACTCTTGCTAGTTTATTTAAAAAGAGTCTAAATAAACTAAATGATTTTTTGTAAAGGAAAAAAAATTAACGATATGCTATGCAAAAATTTTACTTTATAAAAATGTTTTGAAGAAGTCATTGTAATTTTTTTTTTTTTTTAAAAAAGATGTTTGGGAAAGTTTCAAAATAAAACAATTGTGTTCCAAGGAAATATTAGGCTTAAAAAATTTCCCGTACTTCTGTTAAGAAGCCTTAAGAATGGTATGTTTTTTTAGATTTGTTGGGCAAAATTATAAATGCTTAAATTTAGTTAGTTTGGTACAGGACAATAATAGTTAAATAAAAAATGCAAAAATATTTTATTTATATTTAATACATTGTAATTGATGGTTGATAAATAAATGTTGTTAATCAATGAGGCAAGGTTTGGATTTTATGCATCCTAAATAAAACATTGTTTGTTCTAAAAAGTATTAAACCTATATTCTTAAAATGGCTAAAATATTTCTACTTGTATTGTTAACATTTATTACATGTAAATAATAAATATCTAACTATAATATTTTGCTGATATCGAATTTTAAATGTATCAATATTACCCATTGAAATCCCACAATTCATTGTATTTTTATAACCATGTTATAAATTTTATAGCTTGTATCAATCAAAGTAAAAAAATAAGTTTGAAATATCTAAAACTTTGACTGATGCTTATGTATTTTTTCAAACAGAAAAGATAACATCAAAAACCTCAATTCTATCATCAAAGATTTAACTCATTAACTTTATGTAAGAATTTTGCAATATTTTTTTCATGAATTCAATTATTGTTTTACAATAGGGGTGCACAACCTGTGTCCCGCCGGCCACATGCGGCTCTTCCGACTGTTGACGTGCGGCCCACAAGATCTTCTGAACGCACTAAAAAAAATTCACATTTCTTTTTTTTTTTTTAAGTATTACAAATTTTCGTTAATTAAAATATTTAATTCAAGTTTATATTACTCAATAAAATGCATATATTTTTTTGTACTTTCATTTTGTAAGCCTCCTTTTGGTTAGAATTTATATTTAATAATATTTATATTTAATAAATTAATTATTAAGAAAAATGGGAAAAGTTTTTTAAAAAAAGTTTCAATTTTTTTTAGTTTCAAATAAATTCAAATAACTAAAAGTTTTGAATTTTCNTTTAGATAACTTTTTCTTTATGAATATATATCAGGGGCCGTTCAAAAAGTACGTACATCCCGAGGATATAAAATGTTTTATAAGAAGCTTTTAACAATGCTTAAACAATATATAGAAAAGACACGAAGAAATGAGTCCTAACTTCATTTCCAAAGAGGGATCCTTTTGAGGCTGTTATGAATTAGATCTTTTCTCAGAAAATCTTTCGATGACTTATTTTTTTATTGTTAGAGACAACTTTTTATCATAATTTTGATACAGAATCACAGGCAAAAATTTGAATGATTTATATTTGACTATATATCAAAGATATATTGCATGAGCTTAAATAATATCCGTAAAACTTTCTACTTAACGTTATTGCTTTGAATTATTACAACAAAAGTTTACAACTGTGAGAATCCCAATTAGAAATTATCTTTAATGCCATTCTCTTTTTGTGTAACACTGCAGTATCTTCTAATTTAACCCATTTTAGGCCAAGCATAGAGATTTTATGAAATGTCGTGTTATTTTAATTGAAATACGCTTGCATTGCATTCATCAGGACACAAAAAAATTTCATGTATGAAAAATTATATCAGTCAATAAAATTAAAAGAGCAAATTTCATAAAAAAGAGCGTTCAACTAAGTGATTTGTTCATGGATTTAATAAATGGTGCTTATACGTGCCATTTTATTTCTTAAATAGAAGAAATAAAATGGTACATATAATAAGCACCATTTACTAGTATACCATTTAGTTTATCGCTTGTTTTTTTATGAAATTTGTTTTTGTTTCTTATTTACTAACTTGCAACTTTTATATATATGATAAAAACCTATGATAAATCTCAAAAGGAGTAATTATACATTTAAAAAAAATTCCTTTCTTAATAACCGCTTTAAATTAATAATCTGGAGTAGTTTAAAAATTTCTTAACAGAAAGTGTTTACACTGATTGAATTACTAATATTTTATAGATGTCTTCAGAACCCTCCATCCATTATCTATTTAATCTATTCCTTATCCATATTTTAAGAAAGTTTAATAATTTAAGTTAATTTAATGCTGTTATTAATTGTTAATTTTTTAATATTTTAGAATTGCTTAGATGAAACTTCTATAAAAAGGCAACTGTAGACAGATATGGTTTTTGATAATTTAAATGAGAATTTTGAATTGAGTGGTTTTGGACAGAATCATAGTTTTTATTGCAGGTTTTATAATTTTGACCAAACCTTTATCAATTCTGCAAAAAAAAAAAAAAAAAAAANAAAAAAAAAAAAAAAAAAAAAAAAAAAAAAAAAAAAAACCCTGCAAAACACAAACTACAGTGTATCTTTTTTGCATGTAATTGAATTTTGGTATCTTTTGAAAAATATTTTAGTTAACTTTTCAAGAATTTGGAAAGAATTTAATGATTTAAATTATTTTGTTTTAATATAAAACATTTTGATGTCTTAGAAATAATTGATGACATTGTGGACCATGCTGATAATACCAGGGAACGTCTCATCAAAGAAACTAGACACGTTGCCATTGTCGATCGAAAGTCTGGAGAATGTTGTGAGTTTTTAAATTTATTTATATCAATTTCTCTTGATTTCAATGAAAGTTTCTTCTGTTTATTTTAGTAAATTTGTATGATCTGGAAAAATTCATGGAAATACTACATGGTACATATATACATATTTTTTAAATGAATATTAATTTTCATTTAAAAATTAATTCAAATATTTAGCTTTTATTTGGAAATTTTTTAACATCTATTCACTGTAACTTATTATAAAAATAAGTAGCAATTATCTAATAATGAATTAAATTCTAAATTCTATTCAAAGTTTTAAATTTATATTCAAGTATATTTGATGTCTATTACAAATGGGAAATGTTAACCAGCAGCAATATATATAAATTAACATTTAGGTATTAGAGTTTTATTAACTTTTACTGGATTTTTTTTAAAAAAAAAAAAACTTCTCTACTTTTTAAATTTTATATTGTGTTATATTTTGCTGTAAATTTTTATTATTTTTTCTCTTCTTGTCCTTTTGTGTTGCATAGCCGTTAACTATTAAGATTTTTTTTTTGGAAAGATTTTTCAGGGTTTCATTAGATTTCTCTTTTTAAATTCATCTTTAGATATTCATTTAGTTTAACGATATAAATTCTATATTATATACATTAAATTTGTTGAAAATAATCTATATACATATTTCTGCATACATATCTCAAAGTGGTTTAGAAGTTTTCTGTATTTTTCTCATGGCTCAATACTACCAAATTATTGGTGCCAAATTACTACCAAATATTCAAATAGTGAACCAGAAAAGTGAGGAAGTTGGATGTAATGAACTTTTTTATGTCTTTGACTAATTTTTTTAAAAATTTGTTTTTGTAATAATTTTGAAATTTCTACTTCGAAATAAATACATATACCGATTTTTAAGACCATCTATTGAGGGGAATGTAGCAATAAGTATTTTTTCTTGTTTGCTTCTTTTATCTCACTTTCCTCCTTTCTTTAAACAAACCAAGCAGATGTTTCCAACCCAGGCAAATGATGCACCTGTAAGGTGTCAGTGGGATCAATATGCATTTTCTGTCAGAGGGAATGAGGATAAATACTCATTATTGGTCAAAGGGTTGGATAATGGGTTGGATATGTGTTAATAATGTGTTGGATATGTGATAAAGGGTTGGATACGTGTCAATAAGGACCTCATTTCAACTTTTTCCTCTCAGTTCAGTTAAAAAGAAGTCTGAAAACAAGTCTGAAAACAAGTGTCTCAAATTTGACTAAGGCGACCAGTAAACGTAAAACGTTCTCCATTGATGATAAAGTGGGCATAATCAGAAAAATTGAAAATGGATGCAATCAAGCTGATATTTGCAGGGAATATAAACTATCCAAATCTGCAGTTTGTAACGTATGGAGAAATGGGCAATTAATAATTTCTGCTCATGAAAAAAATTTGGATGGCAGAAAAAGTTGAGAAAAGCAGATCACAAGGATGTTGAAGAAGCATTACTGAAGTGGTTCACCAACCGAAGAAGCCGCAATCTTCCAGTATCTGGACAAATGTCGATGAATTTGCTAAGCAATTTTATGAGACTACTTTTATGTGCTCGAATGGCAGGTTAGACAGGTTTAAATAGCGGAATAACAGAAATTCATGAAAAATTATCTGAGAGTCAGGAAGTGTTTCCATATCTGACGTTGAAGATTGCTCATTAGCTAAAGATTACTAATTTCTTTTTGTACGCAAGACAGAGAGTAATGAAAAATAACACATTTTTTTGCTACTACATAATATTTTTCAGTCATTTATTTGAATAATGTGAAATAAAAGGGTGGAGTTTGGGAACCATTACTTAAATTGCCTGCGTAACGGATATAGTGAACTCCCGGTTATAGTGAACAGAATTGTCGGTTCACTATAGCGGAGTTTGACTGTACTCCCAAATATTCAACACTACCAAATTATCGAACCAATAACACAATCTCAATGAATTAAATCTGAGATATTCTTTATACATTCATGCTAAGTATGTGCACATCTGCAATAATGCCTAAACTTACTAAACTCATTTATAAATTTATTCATTAAGGGGCCGTTCAAAAAGTACGTACATCCCGAAGGGGGGGGGAGGGGATTTGCTATTATGTACGGTTTTGTACGATGGGGAGGGGGGGAGGTATTATACAAAGTACGTACTTTATAAACATACACCAAATTTAAATTTGACTTTATCCTACACCCTCCTTAAGTAAATATTTAATTTTATTTAAAACATAATTATTTTAATTTTTATGAAAAAGGGGGGGTAGACTAATAAAATGTACGTACTCTAAGGGGGGGGGGAGTAAAACCTTATGTACGGTAATGTACGAAGGGGGGGAGGGGTTTAAAATTTCTCCATTTTTGTGTACGTACTTTTTGAACGGCCCCTAAATCATTCAACATCACAACAGAGTTAATTAGTTAGTTAATTAAATTAGAATTTAAGTCTTCATTACTAAGTCCTGACTCATTTGAGAGAATTGTAAGAAGAGCACTGTTACTCCACATGCCCAGCTGAAAGCTTGTCAGGATCTCGAAACACTGTGGGAGAAAAGGAGCGTCAGCCAGTCCGTTTCTTAATTTACATGAAGAAAACAATGCAAGCCCCATTCTCTTTGCAATCTCTGGAAAAAAGGAGCTCTTCTCTGAATAGGTAGCACATGTTCGGTCAGATAGTACGGTATGACAAGCTTAACCAGTTACTCACACCATATTATAGCGATCTTTTTTCCCCCACAGAGTTTTTAAAAATGAAATAATGAGGCTGGCACCCTGTGAAGTTTACAGGAAGTCAAAATTCAAACTATTATTTTAAACCTTATTCTAATAGACCTTTATTTTTTATGAAACATTTTTTTCTCTGTGAAACTTTTTTCTGTTTGACCCAGTCAAAAATATTCTCATAATGAAGATAACTTTTAGTGCTAATGCTATTAAATATATGTTTTTATTAAATTCTGGTTGAAATTTAACTATAGACAATGCTTTTTATGGAATTTTAAAATTGGATACAATTTTAAGCCTAAAATTTTGCAATAGCAAAATTCTCTTTTTGAACATATGGGGAAAATAGAAATAGAAATTTACAAGTCATAAATAATTTTCATTTGTAGTGTCAATTTTTGAAAATATTTTTTTATCTTACCATATTTTTGTGTTGATTTTTTTATATAATTTTTAATTTTACACAAATTATGTCTAAATTTTCGCAAAATAGGTACCTCTTAAAAAAACCTAGACAGACCCTGTATTTTCATTGTGACAGATGATTAAAATGGAATGCAATGCTCTTAATTAGAAAATAACCCTTTTTTCAATTTAAATTATCCCATAAGAAACACAACTTAAAACTATTTACCATTCATATGGAATGAGAGAAAATATCTAAAAACTTATCTGTATGTTTGCCTTTTTAAAAAGTTGTCTCTGAGTCACAATCCATGTTGTTTTAACAATCGCACTCAAAATTTGGAGTTCTAACTATATTGTGTCCAATGCACCCAATGAAATAGACACTACATATATCCACATAGCTGCCAACTCTTTTGCCATAGCTCTCAACAATGGATTTTCCAGTAGACTACAGGATTTTGCTAGTTTCTCCTGGTTTACTAGTTTAATAAATATTCTCACAGTTTTTGTACACTTTCGAAAATTCCCTAAAATTGAGAAAGTTTCTTTAAAAAATCCCTATTAAAATAGAATTTTTGCATGGATTGTTGCTTACTTAAATTTGTAAATAAATAGTATTTGTAAATAACTAATATATATAGAAATGAGCTTCATTTATAGAAATCTGTTAAGAACTTTTTTTTTGTTCTGAAATGTTCAGGTAATTTTTATTCACAACTACCTTTTTAAATTAATTAAAAAATTTCAATTATTTTTTATGAATTTAAATGCCTACTACTGTTCAAAATTATGAGTAAACATAATACATTGTATTTCAAGCATATTTAATGCCACTCATGACTGGAAAGTATTGCAATTTTTCTTTTTTGATGACTATAACTATCCCTAAAATTCCCTATGTGTAAAATATTTGATACGTAATGCAAAAATTATCATGAAATTTATTTTATATTTCGGAAATTCTACTAGATTTTTTTCCTATCTATGATGGCAGCTTTGTATATACATAAAATTGCTAAAAGTACCCCACTGTTGGAGTACATTCACCCACACTTAAAGGCTCTTTCGGGGGGGAAATTACAAATCGAACGTTTTTTATTTTTTTATTAATTTTTTTAAAATCATGAATGGTGTGCAGAGATGGTCTCGTAGGGGAAAAATATTCAAAATTTATTGATAATTTTTTTAATGAAATAAAAAAAATTAGAAGCTAGAGAATGTGTCAACTAACTCCTGTTTCCCCAAATAGTTTTTATCAGAGTCGCCACCCATCTGGAATTATCAGGGAATTTTTTTACACTGGAAAAAAACCTGGAAAAGTCAGGGAAATTTGAATGAAAACTTGAAAAAATCAGGAAATTTTAAGGAAAAGCTGGGATTTTTTTCTTAATTTAAATTACTTTACTATCCGTTATATCCACTTTATTTAGACTGAAATTTATCGTCAAACAGTTGAAATATCATTAACTTGGCAATATTTTGCTTGCATTAAAATTCTCTCCATTATTACCCTGCTAAACTAGAATGCCATATTAAACTCACCCATGGTTGCTAAATGAATGGAGAAACCTTTGACCTCCTTGGAGGTTATGGGACTATGCAGTTTAGGAAAGACAAGCATTGTGGTGGAGGTGGAAGATATTAGTTCTTTAGTTCGGATATTTGCTTCGGTTTTTAAAATTAGTTTTTTTTTATAAAAATTTTTTTTTCTTCTAGTCTGTGGGCTTATTTCATTTATTGTTCAAGTTTGTTCCATTGCTTTGAGGGTATTTTTTGTTTTTAACAAAATTATTTGAAATGTTTTAGCATTTTTAACTGTATAAAATTCTATAAAAAGTAATTTTTTTTATAATTTAATAGATTTTTTCT